GTAAGGTCTCTTATGGTTAGTATATTAAGAAGGAAAATATAGGGAATAAAAATAATATATGATAGGGGATATGTCAGGCCGTAATATATTGCCTATAATTTATATATCTCTTCTATTTTAGCTACTTATAAAGTTAAGTAATATAGCTATTAATAAGGGCTATATTAAGGAGGAAGGTCTAGGCTAGTGCCTACTATAGGCCCTAGCGGAGGGCATAATTATACTTATAATATAACTATAGCTAATTACTATGGTTAATATGGTTTATCTCGTTATTATAAGTAGTAGTTACTATTAGTATATTAATTATTTTAATAGCTTTATTCTTAAAAAAATAGTATATTAGCTTAGCTTCTAACTTCTTAGATAATAGCTTCTTCCTCTATCGGATAATATACTTATTATCGGCGCTAGTAAATATAGTAAATAAGAATAATATAAGCTTATTATCCTTCTAAGCGATTTAATTAACCTAGGGATATATAATAAAAATAGATTAATAAGGTCTTCTTAGCTAAAAGTATTTAAAGCTAATACCTAGTTATTAAGGGTTAATATAGCTTTAATAGCATTAAATTCATATATTTTTTTAACCTTATTATTATTATTCTTATCCCTAATTAATTCCTTATAGATACTATTATTCGCACGAGCTATGCTAGTAGCCCTATAGCCCTGCTTGCGAAGGTTATAGAAGAGAGGTAAGGATAAAAAGAGGTTATCTATAAATATATAGTATATCGATTTTAGTAGTATTTTTATAAGGCTAATAATAACGGCTTAGGTCGAATTTATTGCTTTATTATTATATTCTATATTATAGATTTCCTCTGCGGCCTTATCTAAGACCTTTCTTCTTTTCCTATGCCGGGCTTATAAGGGTTATAATAATAATATCTATATTGAAATTTCAATACTAATAGCGCTATGCTCTATATCTTTAATATGCTATAGCTAGTAAATAAAGAAGCCCAGCTAGGCTATGACCTAAATCTTAAAGCCCATAGGGTCGGGCTTACTTTTAATAGTCATAATAGCATCGCTTCTGCCTATATAGCAGATTATATACTTATCGATAGCTAGGTGGGACCCAGGCCGGAATAGCTACATAGATACGGCTTATATATGCTTAGACCACTCTTCGACGCCTTAGAATACCCTCGGAAGTGGTGCGGTCTCGTTAACTTAGGTATGGTTATATTAAGACCGTATGACTAAGATGGTCCGATCTGCTAGTGGCTAGGATATAGATACTATGTAAGGAGCTATGCTCCTCTGAGACATATATAACTTAGACCTTTTAATAATATAATACCTTCTACTCCCGCAGTATTGCTTCAATACATGCCTACCCTGCGACATAAATAAATAAGGTAAATAATCATCTCTGCTGTTGAGGCGGGGCAGGTATCCTAGACGAGCCATTCAGAGGCCGCATTTGTCTTGCAGGGGCCTCTAGGTTGGCCAATGCGATACAAGCAACCCCGATGCTTAGGGACGCTTACTTACCCTAGGGCTAAAACTAGGTATATAGTAATAAATCAACGGGAATCAATTAACGGCCACCTAAGTTAAATTGAATTGCATTGACTTATGTAATCTGGAATCTAGGATTAAATTGCATTGAATTGAATTGATTTAATAATATTATATTAATATTAAAAGCCGTTGATTGATTAGCAAGCCTGGCCTTCAACTAGCATTATATACCCGCCATCGGAGTCTTCTGTAAGCCTTACGGAACTTATCAAAGGTGAGAGCGTTTCCCTTTTCTTAATCGGGGGAAATAGATTGCTAACTAACTATAGTCTTTTTAGAACTTTGCACCTACGTCTACCCTGATGGCCCCCTGGATTTCACAATCGATTCTACGGACCTTCTAGGTAAATTTCGCGCTCTATGATAAAGCAATATTGCGGGAGTGGAAGATGATATATTGTTATAAGGTCTAAGTTACATATATCTGAGAGGAGCATAGCTCCTCACTTAGTATCCACATCCCAGCCACCAGCAGATCGGACTATCTTAGTCCTATGGTCTTAACACTCTGGCACTCCCACGGATCCCAGATTCTTGACGACGCAAGCGAAGCCTCCAATGTGAGACCGCTTTTTCGAACTGCCTCTGAGGCCAGCTTCTTTGATATGTTTTACAATTTGGCCTACCTCGCCGCTTAGCCGGGCCTAGGTTGAGGGAGATTGACAGTCCACACGGGCTTATATATGTCTATACATGCCGTCGTCTAAAGGGGGGCGCAAATATAGCGCTATTGATGCAAAAACCACGCAGGGCTGCTAATGCCGGCTTAGGAGTGTTCTGCGCCAGTCTATTGAAACCTCTGATCTGATATTCCCACTGTGTTGAATGGAGACCTCGCCACTTCATCCTCAGCACTCTAACCCCAACGGGCCACATGAGTCTATTCTCCTCGTCTGGTGTCACAAAGAACGCCCTTAAGTGTCTACCATGGTGCCCCTTCCATTCTCTTGAGGTTCATGATGGGTCATTGACGCCTTCTACTTCTACCAACGTCCACGATCAAACCGTACTGCAAGCCATCCTGCAGCTACCTCGCTTGTCTCAACGAAGGTGCGCTGAGCCCCTCCAGTGAAATGTGAGCACTATTGGCTAAAATGCCAATGGTGAGCTCCCACGACGGCAAGGCGGATCGAATACCACAGGGCTTGCAAGCTGAACCATTCATGGCTTTCAGATGAGGGTGAGGAATACTACCATCGGGCCGCGGACAAAGGTCCTTGGGGTCGGGACGATTCAGCGAGCGAATGAGCTTGTTCAGGCCTCTGCGGGCTGGCTTATCGAACTGGCGGATCTCGCCAAGGTGCCTGGACACACGATCTTTGTCCGCTGTTATGGCGTACCCGCATCCCTTGCAAATGATAGCAGGCTCAGGCGAGTTGAAGTATAAGTCAAGTCGGCCGAGCTTTGCAAGTTGGCTCAGTGACAATTAGGTGCCAGGCTCAGTGTGGGTACGGTGCTCATCAGTCGGCATTGCTACCAGTCGAGCAGAGAGTCTAAGCAGTAGCAGAGTATTCCGTATAGGGAGAGCTGCGTAAATCTGTTGTGATGTTGAGAGTGACGATCGCATGCCGTCCTCGTTTGTCAAGGGCTTAATTAATTTCACTCTACAGGCATGGCACGGGCCATTAGAAGGGAAAACGCGACGCTTTTGGGCTGCAGCTAAACGCCTGTGCATGGAAACGCGCCCCGTTTTGAGCTTCCAAAGGGTAGAAATCTATAAGCTGTGATTGGAGGAAAAGTTAAAACGGGGCCCGTTTTGAGCATGAATACTTGAGTAGGTACGCCCACGAGTCGCAAGTTCACTCGCCATCACTATCGTGATCAAACACTCAGTCTTCTTATTAACCCCTCCACTCTCTAACCAATCGCTAGGATCCTTCAGATGTACTGATCTCTACCGGCACTTTACGGGCGACTTTTGCGGGGAGGAAAGCTAAGTGTGGGTAGGTCGAGAGACGGACTTGCACACGGACACACACATGCAAAGGCCCGGAAAGAGCAAGAGAGGGGAGAAGGCTGGGCAGACTGACAATTGTGACAAGTGATAGACCATGGCTCCCGGTTGGACGCTAAATGAAGGGGGAACTGAGCTCAACATTGATGGCGCATGAGCTAAGGGGCAACTGCCAGTTCCACCTTGCAACTTTGAGCAGTGGCCTTGCTTTTTGCCGGAATAACCCTTGGGTTGTCCCTCCACCCTGGGAAAAGCACGGACCCTAAAGAACCGGGCCTGGAATGCCACGCCTGATCTACGGACGGGATAAAGAACTAGGCCAACCAACTCACCCCGTTTCATCACACCCTGGTCGCCCGTGGCCTTATCAAAAAGTTGCCATGTGGACCCTGAGCGTCATCGTGTAGTAATTACTGTCATCCCGTCCCCGAAATGGTCCCAGGGATGCAGCGGACCGTGCTTAAAACGTCTGATTCGAGAGCCGCATCTCGCACCGTTTTTGGACTTGTTGCACTTTCTGATGGCTGCCTCCGCTGTACGGGATTCGCCACTGGCCTGTGCCCCGTCCAAACTCCAGGCTACAGAGCCGATCGATTGGTACCCTTTTGATGCGCACCTGGGAGATCCTCGTTATGCTAGGGTTTGACAGGCACAATCGGGCCGCTAGCGCTCTGGACAGCCGAATGACACCCAATAACAGCTGGTCAGTAGGGATTCGCCTCGCTGAGGTTAACTGAAGTAATCAGGACATGCCACCTCGGTTGAAGCGTATTTCCTGTCCGGCGCGCCAACGAGGGTCGATCAATAATCAAACATGCGGTGTACTTCCCGTCTCTCTTACTTTGCTTGGATGCGCCTCGCCTGTTTCTGTGCCGCGTGCTTGCTTTCCCTAACCCCTTCCCCCCCTCCACCCGCCTCTGGGCGCGCTTTAGGCCGTGGTTTCTTGACGTCTTCGTTTCACAACCCTTGCAAAGGCCGCTTGTGTAACAGGTGCATCACAGCCAGATCACTTGCGCTTAAGCAGCATGCCGTGGTTCAAACAAGTGCTTGTGCTCGGACAACCTGCCCCTCAAATCTGTGTACTGATCTGCGAGGTGTGCATCACTCAACTAACAAGTGCACCCCTTCTTCCTGGACCGAGAGTCTGAAGCAGCCAAATATCCGATCATAGCTGCGTTTTTTTTAGCAGAAGCGATGGTAGCGAATGCAAGCTGTCCAAATAGGAATGCCCCTCCCCATGTAACACTCTCACTTAAGGGGTTCTCTTGATCAACCTAAACAAACCACACATACATCAATGCCGTGTGTGTGTACCATCCCAGACTAGCTGTGTCACAGAAGCACTCAATGAGCCCTGTCTCTGTCCGGCACTCGAGGGGTAGTATATAATACCGCCATCGATTCCTGAATGCAAGCTGATCCCTTCAAACCAAACCACCGCTCACACGGATGTCAGCTGCCACCTTGTCCCAATCTGTACCTAGACTCTCTTCATCCCCCTCCCAACATGGGTAGCCTCACCAAGCAGTCAAGCCGGTTGTTCAATCTAAAGCTGGTCCGCAAGTACTTGTTCAAGGGCAATAATACGCACCTACGTGGCGAGAGGGGCTCACAGAGCAGTCCCGGTCAACATTCCGAACCCAAGGGTGAGGCATCAGGTGGATCAAGTTGCTGTTCAACTGAATTCCATTACGGCCGAACCGAATCAGAATCTTCTCATGAGGACTATTACCAACACCACCAAGCCCACGATGAGATATTGGATACTTTCTTAAGGCCTAGCCTCGGAGAAAGCAATAAAGACATCAAAGCCCTCCTCCAGAAAAAGCAATACCCAGCCTTGCTATCCCCTTCTGAGATTCAATCACTAGAACCACCATCACAACCCCCAAGCAAGCCGCTGCCTAAAATCCCTACACAAGTTCGACCCCAACGAGCACCGCAACGGGTGCCCCGAGTGGTTGATGATCCTCGGGTCCCTGCGCGGAACCTCCAGAACACTCAATCCCAGGCCCGAAAGGCCGGGACGGCCCACTCGGCCTTCCCAAAGCCCATCGCTGTGCCTCCGAGGACTACCTCCCTCACAACTTCGTCGCGGTTCCCTCGGGTGACGCACTCTCCCCAGCGACCACCTCGCTCCTATGCCACCGCTGCTACGCATGCTCCTCAACATATCGCCAAGTTCTATGACAAGCCGTCTAAGAAGAATGAGGAGCTTATTGAGGAATCTATTTATGAACCCCTCGGACGGTTTGCCAGGAACTCTCTTATTCAGAACTCCATTACAGACTCTCAAAGTCGGCAATTTATCTCTTCCCCCGATAATGTCATTACGTATATCGGATCCAAGGTTGCCCAGCCTTTGGCTACAAGCCCTCGAGAATCGGCTCCTTTCTTAACGCCAGTAGGGTATAACGGGGACGAGAATACTCCCATACCCTCTCAGCTATCCTTACCAAAGGACCTTCGACCTAAAGCATCCTTAAAGACTTCCCGTACGGCCGATACTCTTGCCTGTCGACCTACTACAGCATCTCAAGTAACCCCCTTGCGCTCACCATTCATGGCCGTGGACCGACAAGAGCATCTCTCGAGTCCGGTACTGGGACCAATTCTTTTGGAAATCCAATAGTAACTCCCGAGAGTAGCCCCAAAACTTCACATTATCAAAGGCCAGTCCATATTGGCTTAAAGACGAGTCGATCCACCAGCCACCTTTTTGTGCCTGACTCGGAACGTCGCCCTATGTTAACTAAGTCAGCACCCAATCTTCGAATGGGAGCCAAACCTAAGCCTCTTCAACTTTATTTATTTCCTCAGCTTCCTCAACCGCCTGGGCCTACTTAGTTTCCTTTATTTAATGCCCCCGTGCGCTCTTACTTTGACTATGAGGGTGGGGAAAATGATAGTCGCATCGGCTTTCACCAGCCGTCTCCTCTTCTTCTCCTTTAGAGCCTTCAGTTGCTGTTGACATATGCTGCAACTAACTGAGATGCGCTGTACTCTTTGACTCTGGACCGCATAGTCGCCTTCACAGCATTAAAGATGAATTAATCTTGCCTTCTTAGGATAATATACTTCATCCTAGCATCGATAGTTAGAAGGTTCGGGAACTTTAGTTATTGGCAGTCTTCAAAGAAGTTGAACCATTCAGAGTAAATCTAATAGTGTGATTATACCTTATCACTTATGTGCGAATGCTAGTATAAAGTATCTTCTAAGCTCCTACTACCTCGGCCACCAGATAATGTCGTCATGTATGGCTCTTATTACGTGGGACTGTTCTCCTTGGTCCTGCTAGGCGAGAGGGTAGCTGGGTTAATAGGAGAGTCTTATTGCAATCCCCTTCACACATTACCTACGGCGCCTATGATGAAGGGGGTTGGTAACACTCAACAAGGTCGACAGCCTGTCTCCATGGGATGCTCCGTTCTGGCTGTCGATGAGGCTCGAGGCTAGGTTCTCCTGCATACCGTTAATCGTAACACCAAGGTAGACGGGGGCTCCGCGCATACGGTGGACTTTGTGCTGAGAGCCGCCGAGTATTGCGTTCTCAGCACGGCCGATGTCAGTCGCCTTGCGCTTGCGTGGGCAATCCTATTGGTCTCACGACCTGCGCCTAGCAGCCAGGGCCTTTTCAGCTGCTCAAAGCGTCCCCCACAGAAATCCCGCAAAGATGTCGCCAGTTATCAGCCATCATCCGTCATATCACCCACATCCATCGGAAGAGGTACTATGTCGTTGACATCGCTATCACACGCAAGAAAGCCAACCTCATCTACGGGCAGCGATAATGGCGCCTAGCTGGGTCAAGAAGATTGAATCCAAGTTCAAAGGCATGCGGCCAAGCCCTCCACTCTAGTCTGCCCTTCCTTACTCCCCCAAAGCCTTCTCAGCCAGCACCTGGGCTAGCAGCTCAAGCAGCATCTCGACCAGCTCCTCCGCCAACACCAGAGCCAACACCCCAGCCAACAGCTTCCGGGCCTGCTGACCCCGAAGCCTCGTCTAGCCTGCAACTTCGGAAGGTCTCTGGGATCTGGGACGTACTGGATGTCGTAAAGGAAATGCCTGCTGGCTTGGAAGATCTATACGGTCGAATGATGCAACGGATCCAAAAGTTGGGGCGGCGGAATCCCGAAATGTGCTGATCTATATTATCGACAGTCACCACAGCCTATCGCCCCCTTCACCTAGAGGAACTTGGTCACCTCTCAGGCTTACCGGCGAATTTTCAGAGATCGAATGATAATATTTCGAAGATCTCGAACATTTGCGGCTCCTTCCTGACAATCAGAGACAATGCCGTCTACATCATTCATCAGTCTGCTAAGGACTTTTTGTCCTCGAGCACATATCTCTTTCCTTCTGGCATGGCGCACTAGCACCATGTCATCTTCTCGAGGTCACTGCAGGCTTTGTCAAGGACGCTCCGACGCTCCATTTACGGCCTATGCGACCCAGGATTTCCCATCGATTAGGTGTCGCCGCCCGACCCTGACCCATTGGCTTCATCCAGGTATTCTTGCATTTACTGGGTTGATCATCTCGGTGACTCGGATTCCGCAGAGAGGATGAGAGACGACAAGGGCCAACAGGACGGTGGCGTCGTTCATGTCTTGCTTCAGAAGAAGTATCTGCATTGGCTAGAGGCCCTCAGTCTGTTACGCAGCATGTCGGAGGGAGTCATAGCAGTACAGAAGCTCGAAGCTTTAGCAGTAAGTTATTATACATTCATGCACATACTTGAGACGGTCTAACACGTTCGCAGAAAACAAAGGAAGCGAGATAACTAACAGAACTGCTTCGAGACGCATACCGCTTTATTCTTTCTCACCAGCGAGCCATAGAGATCGCCCTGTTGCAGGTATATGCGTCGGCGCTCGTGTTTATCCCACCCGCTGTCTAGTCAGAGAGCTCTTCAAGAAGGAAGAGCCAGGTTGGATCACATTAAAGCCGAGTATGGAATCAGACTGGAATGCATGCCTCCAGACGCTCGAGGGCCATGATGATTCGGTGAACTCAGTCGACTTCTCGGCGGATGGCCAGCGGCTCGCCTCGGGCACGGACGATAGCACGATCAAGATCTGGGATGCGGCTACGGGCGCTTGCCTCCAGACGCTCGAGGTCGGGAGAGCATTAGCTCACCTTTATTCGATCCAATGACCCAACTCCCGATTCTCTAACGTGCATGATAAGCGTGCGGTCAAAACAAGCGTGCGGTCAATTTTCCACAACCTCGCAACTCTCTACCCCTGCAAAATCAACCACAACACTCTAAATCGGCTCAGATTAATTGGGACTCTGTTCTTGAGACACTGCTACTTCTATCTGACATCTTCGTGCGTTATGTCCTGTCTTGCCGCAGACACCACATCGCCGTGCCTTCGTTTCTGGCCTCCGCTTCCAACCACCATTTCGACGGCTTTCTTCTTCTAACTGCACATTTACCTCCTTCTGATCTTGCAAATCCTGCCCTTCAGCTAGAGTTAGACTTCCTCCATCCCGCAATTGTTTCTTTTTGGCCTATCGGCGTCAACTAAGTGTCTCATTCTCCTGTCGAAGGATCTGGTTCTCCGACCTCAGCAAAGCGATCTGATGCATGATTCCTTGCGCCCCTTTGGCAAACTGGTCGACAGCATGCAGAATCAATGTCGGAGAGCTTCCTTGGTGTCGAGGGATTCGTTTCTTGATGAATTCAGACTGCGAACTCGCCTCTGTCGGGTTGTTTGGCGTCTTGGAAACCTAAGGTGCCGATGGCTCATCGACCCCGTCGACTGACGGTGGCGTATATAGCTTCACATCTAGTCTAGAAATCACACTTTCCGAGTTCAAAGGCATAAGGCCTACTCCTCGGAAACCCCCACGGATGTTCTTTTCTGTCATGGACTCCTGGAATGCTGCAAAAAATGCCGAAAAGAAATCCTCCTTGGTGATGTGCGTTATACCCGCCCGCATCTTCCTCTCGATTTGTCGCCCGTTGCTTGCTTGAGTGGGCCAAAACAGCCGACAGCGAGAGACTGAAGGATATGGGATGAATGAGAAGGCATACAAAATATGGCGATCTTGTTTTTCCCGCAGTAGAGCCCGAAGTCGACGGAGAGGTGACTTTCATGGTTATCTAGGATAAGGAGGCGATATTCACCAGTTGTGCGCGGCTTGGTGTGCTTATCGAAATGCCAAACCCATTTTAGGCCTCTCTTATTTGTCGTCTAGCCATTTTCGGTCGTGGCGATAACCCAGTCTTGCGGTAGAGGGCTATCTTCGTACCATGTCGAGAGGTGATATTAACCCGCAACAATAATAAACGGCGGCAGCCACTATCCTTAGGAATTGATGCCCTAGACGATAGTAATCCATTCCCGGTTTCCGGGCTAAGCTAATTTCACGTTAGAATGTCTTTCCGCGCTTATGGCGACCATGCCTATCGAGATAATTCCCATTATGAAACTAGTCTCGTCAAAGTTATAGATATCTGACTCTATGATGCCATATCTGGTGATTATGTTCCGCATAAGCGTAAATTAGCCAAGAATAACCTCTAGATCTTTGCATTTGGCTCTTTAGTAGTTATATCTCTGAAAAGAATATGTTTTTAGCTCTAGTTATCGCTTGATAAAGTTGGAACCTTAGCGTATACCGATGGGAGGCGCGTCGCGGTCGGCGAGTAGTTTATTAGCTATATCTTCCATGTCGCGAAGACGGGGAGGAAACGATCGCGAATCTAGGTCGAGAATGTATTAAATAATTATCCGTTCCTCTAGATCTATTAATTTTCGAGATTTAGGCGTGTAGTTGCGTCTTATAGGGATGTGGTCGCGTCGACGACGCAAGGTAGTGTTTGAGACTCTATAGATCGTAGTAGCGCGATGCACCTTTAATTGGGGGTTATTTTGAAGCACTTGAAGAGTAAGAATGATATTAGCTTCGTAATTTGACTGTGACATGTTCTGTAGTTGAGGAATGTGGGTTGAAGGAAGGAAAAGAGAATTCGGGTGGGGAATTGACCGCGCGCTTGTTTTGACCGCACGCTTATCATGCACGTGACTGGCATCAGACTTCTGAACCTAGATTTATCGCATATTATCGATAATCAGTTGACTAGGGCTTCTTTCCGAGATGTTAGCTACTGTGCTATGGTATAAGCACTGACGGCATATGGATAATGGAAGATGGGAAGGGTATGCTTTGGCTACATCCGGAGTATCGAGCGTCGGAATCGGCCGTAGTGGGATCGACGGTCACATGTGGAAAATGATGGTGATGAGAAAGGTGAGAGTGAAGAGGTAAGCACCAAATTGTTACAGCGTGCACTAATGTAGAGGGTAGTGGAGAGCTTTGCTGATATCTTACTCCCATCCAGGAGTTAGTCAGCTGCTTATATAGCAAGCCCCTCACCAAATTCTAAGTCTCTGTGCAGCTTCGGATTTAGGACTCTGTAAGCTGAGACGCCGCGCTTTCTGCAATTGGATCCAGTCCAAGCAGCATACTTTTGGGTTCGTCATGCCTCCCGGGGCTTCTGTAGTCCGCTGAAACCGACTGGGGCCTCTCACTGACATGGACTCCCTCCGAACACCTCATTGATTCCTCTAGCGAGGGGATGCATGAAGCCTGGGCTCATACATCACGTCTAGGCAAGGCAGACTCCGGGGAAGCCGATGCAGTGGGACAGGAGAGCTGCGGTGCATGCTAATGAGAGAAAGGTGTGACTGACCGGGTTGCAGGCATCAACTTGGACTGAAACCGCTTAGTTGGTCAGTTCTGCCGCTTGACAGCAAGGGGCTGCATAGTCTCTCTGTTGGAATAGGGCCAAAAAATAGGCAGCGATCACGATCACGGTGAACTTGTTCACGGTGATCGTGAACGACCACAACTAGCATCATGCAGCAGACTACTACCTATATTATTAGAAGACTAAACACAGGTATAAAAACCCTACCTTCGTCGCTCCCTTAGAGAAAAAGTAGCGAAAAATCCAATCTCTTCTGCCCACACCCATGTTGCACACCTCTAACTTCTGACACATATAAAAAGTACCTGGAAATTGTTAGCGCCCTCTAGCAATTTTTAGGTATTTTACCCCGCTATACCCTGCTAAAAGGTACAAAATTGACCGACTCACTTATCGTATACGTTACATTTAAATTCCTGACTTGCAGGGGCCACTGCCGTTGTTTACACATGCCCCAGATGCCTGAGCGTTAATACTGCTTGTTGTCTCTTGTCTCCATTCCGGCCCCCATTCTACCAGGGGTGATCAGCGGGAGAGAGGCGCCAGTGATATGTGGAGGGCTACCCCGGACTACCCCAAGGTATATGACCAGTCACTATTTCGTCTTGGCCAAGCTTTTTTTTTTTTTGTTTTTTTTTTTTGTTTTTTTTCTTTTTATTGGTATATAGGTCGCTCGGGTCAATCATTTCACCACCCTGGATTTCCATGTGGCCTGGCGTGCATCATACTTCTTCCGAGATACATATCGATGGTCAGTACTGATCCCCGACGGAGCCCACTTATTGTATTTTGCTGTCTTTGTTTGCTGGAAGTTCTATCGGTCTCTGCCTAAGGCGGGCACGGACCGTTGGGGAAATCTTGCGGAGGATCCATTGGATTCCACCTATGGGAATATACTCAGTCGTTGAACAATGTCTCAATAACTCCGAAATGTCGCAGGCCCAATCAGTTCATTATTCTCAGCCACGGATGTTCACTTTAGTAAACGATCTCCAAGGGTTCACGGCATTTTCTGAGCTATCCTCAAGGTGGCTACTCTCCACCTAAGATCATGGCCTAAATTGGTAACGGAACCGATAGTGTTGCGCCACTGGGGTGATAAGATTTGGTCCAGACCAGAGTCGGCGCTAAAATATGATAGATTCTATTTCCAGCGACTTAGGTTACCACGGAAAAAGATATGTCGTTGGTAATGACTTACTCGAGAACTTCCGTTTGCGTCTATAGTTGGTCCTAGACCAGTGTGGGCTTCCTGATCTGAAGCCTTCTTTAGATGGTAGGCGGATTGACCTCACTTTAAGCTATGGTTCTTTCCCTCTATTAGGGGAATGCAAGCCGCTGGCATTGCAGAGCGTCCTAACCCCAGAAGGTAACGAGAGCGCAATGAGGGATAAGCTGATGGTGCTTGATAGGATGGGTAGGTAACCATGTTACCAGTGGTTTTGATCGGGCATGATATCCGTTCACTGATCGAGTCCAATGGAGGCGGCGCCTTTCTACAGGGATCAGGGAAGAGCGTATACATATCCGGAGATACACAAACAGACAAAAGGAAGGTGGAGGCTCGCCTGGGTGCAAGCTACGTACCTCTTCGACTGGTTCACATTTTCGAGCACTATCCATCCACAGGCCCTTGACCATGCCCAAATCCATCGGCAACTTGTTGCATCGTCTGTCGGCCAACTTGTTCTTCCTATGCAAACTGCGCACTGCCGCATGTGTTGAGCTGCTGTTGAACTGTAGTCACATGAGGCCGGTTTTCTTAAAGTACCCGAGTTCGCAGCAGTGTAGTCGCCCTTAAAGTATTGGAGGCCGGCTTTGTGCTGCTGCGGGAATGAGGACGGAGGACATTGCTTAATGCCTCTGCATTTGTTGGCCGACTTCAGCGGTAAAGTAAGATGCCCTGAGAACTCAGATCTCATCCAATCCCCGAGGCGATGGTACGGGCCGCCGAAGATCTGTCAACGCCGCCTGAACCGAGATTCAGGGTAGGAGGCCCACGCTCACCTGCCCCTGAACATTCGCTCTCTCCCTTGCATCCTACCGCCTCCACATGTCTCACAACACGATACCATCAACTTTCGAGTTGTTACCTCTGCTCACCCTCCTCGCCCCTCCTCCTTCTCTCCCTTTTTTCCTTCTCCTCCTTTATTTACCTTCTTCCTTTTCTTCCTTTCTCCGCAGTGTGTTCACCCGCTCTGGTGCCTTCCACACGCCGCCGGCCGCAGCAGCAGGCTTCGTCCTTGCTCGCCATATTAGTGGCCCAGCACTGCCCGGCTTTGGGTCTGGTGTCGTCCACTGCTGCTCCGTTGCTAGTCGCCAAACCGCCAGTGCGCAACCAAGGCCAGCTCCAACCATCTATAAACTACAGACCGCACGCCCCAATCACCTCAGATCGAGTCGATAGCATCAACACGGGAGAATGTCGTCAAGGCAAGGTTCAGTTAACCAACTAGTCCATTCCAACATAAGTTTTCTTCCTCTCGCCCACGGCCACCCGACACCGAGCCCGCAATGCCAAACGTCCGCAAACATCAACCTTCTTACCAGCCCTCAACGCGCGAGAGGATTATAACCCGGTGCCGTGGGTTTCGCTCCACTCGCCTATCTCTCTGTCTTGAACCGACTTGAGCGCCACGTCCCTTAGCCCCTGTCCCTAGGCCAGTTTCACGATTTGCCGCCGCCCTAAGTAGTTTGCGCTACGCTTTTTCTGGCCTGTGATCCAGCGGGCCAACACCGATCCACCAGCACTCTTACTTGTGGCGGTGGATCGACCGCTCCCCCAGCCAGCCTTGAAAGCCAGCAAGTAAGTCGCGCTCATTTCGTCTGCATGCGTCTGTCCACCCAAGAAGCCTAAGTCCCAGGCCGCCTCCCTGTCGGTCTTCTGCCTTAGTGCTGTCACAAATCATCTTTCCTATCAACCTTCAGATCTATCTATACCCGTGGCTCTTCTGGCATTATCTATTTCTTTGCCTTTTGCTTCTTCGTCTACTTTTTTTTTATTTTCCCGCCTCGTGAGTCCTCCTATGTCTATAGCCCCTTCCCTCGCCTAAGTAGGTCATCACATCTAGTGCTAGCTCGATATCTCGATACCCTTCTTGGCTCGTCAAGTCACGGAAGCGCTTCCTTTACCATCCCTCTGCCTATCTGTTTCTTCCTTCATTCATCAAGCATTCCCCAGCCGAATGTAGCCAGATCAGATGCATCTACGACATCAAATTGCCCCAGACCATCTTTTGTATTTGCCACACCCCCTAACCCTATCAGGAAGAAGTCTGTTTGATTCCAATACGAGAGCTGCCGCAGCATCCTCTCTTATTTCTGGCTGGTCCTCCCACATCAACAACTCCCTCACTCTTCCCGCCTTCGCTCTGCCTCCATCCTCCAACAACTACACCACCTACTGCAACCTACCATTCTCACCACCACCACCGGCAGCGCCTATCCATCTCAAGAGATCGTATGGAAACCTCGCATAGGGAACCTCTTGCCATGGCCATGACAATGCTCATTATGCCGTCCACCCACCACCCGCTTCGACCGTCAGTCTCCTCGGACTATCATCATTCCTCATCCGGTGCCAGCATCTCTAACATGATCTCTTCTGTTGTGCCCCAGAAGCCGGCCAACGGAAATAATTCTTCGAATCGTCGGCCATTGTTCTCGATCTCGGAACTCATTCAGGACGCCAAGCTGGGCCCTCCTCTTCCTGGATCTCCTTCTAGCACCCGGCCCGGCTCCAAACTTTCGTCATCTTTCGAGCCCGTTCCTCGATCGTTCTCAAAGGCTGGGAAGCATTCCTCACCACAGCCACTACACCCGGCTTCGTCTTTTCCCTCTCAACAATATGCTCTTACTTCCTTCACAAGTTCTCATCGGCTACCACTCACTAGCCGACCGCTACTACCTCCTCTCTCGGACTGCCAGGCAGGCCTTTCAGCCAAGCCGGACATTCCTCCCCAGCAACATCATCCTCAAGAGCAGAGGCCTCCGCGGGCTCACTATCCCTTCAACGTGGTGTATGCACATCCTCATCCGCCGCCCCCTCCTACGAGTGCTATTTATCAACCTGGCCAACAACCTCCTAGTCAGATGCGTCTGCCCGTTTCTCGGATCTCTCCCAAGCACGCGGTTCCGCCCCATGTCTCAAGGCCCTATAACCCATGGGAACCTCCCGATACGGAAAAGGGAGTGTGTGCTCCTCGAGCTAGACATGATGCTACCGTGACTAAGCACTTTGAAAGCTGGAGCTACCAAGATTCTTTAAGTCAAGTATGTCGGAATAAGCTCGCATAGAAGGGCGGCAATATTAACTGACTTTAGATCGGCTCCTGTTCCCACAAGATTCTTAACTTCTCCGAAGTATATACCCGAATCACTCAAGAGCAGCACGGAGCTCACCCCATCCCGAGCAGACTACCGACAGAGCAGGATATCAGCGATATGCTCGGCAACATTGAGCGGATCAAGCGGCATTTGGAGCAAGTAAGGAGTCTGCTGCAAGCACTGAGCCAGAACGAGCGGGCTCGTGAAGCAGCCAAAATGAAGAGCCCGTACGAGGAGGATCACGATGTGCCCATGCATGGAGATGCAATGAAGCCCCAATATAGTATGACAGAGGCCAACACGCGATTGAGGGTAGGTTCAATCATTTGAGACCAAAAAAAGAAAAAGCTCACACGTTGATAGTGTGCGGCTCCCCTTGACCGATGTCATAGTTGCAACCGAGTTGACACACCCGAATGGCGACGGGGTCCTGATGGAGCGAGGACGTTGTGCAATGCGTGCGGCCTACGTTATGCCAAATTAAAGAAGCAACAGCTTGAAGCGAGGTCGATCCACGTGAAACATAGAGAGGCCCATAGCTACTAAGGATCTATTTACTGTTAGTCCCAGAAGTCTTAGGTCACTGCATAAGTTTGTCATCAATGATAGTATAATGAGAGTACATGACGCATCGACTTCCTGCTATCAAGTCTCAATTGCTCGTTTCCGGTTAAAACACCCAGAAACGAACGCAAATATATACTATTGACTATCATCTCCTGCACGCAACGCGGCACCTTCATTCCCTACAAGAGAGGTGATACTACGGTATATCTCATAATCATATGTAACCATTTTTCAAGCCCAATCATTCGGTACGACTATTACTTATCTTCTCTTCTTTAAGGCTTGCCATACTTGGCCAGTTCCACTCATACATATCTCTCCGTAGCTTGGGTATCATGGAGCTCAACTGTGTAGTCGTCGAGACCCTCTTTGTCACGGCCATGACGTGAGCCAGGCGGGGAACTATGGCAGAAATACTCTGACTAAGCAAGGGACCGAAGGGACTGAACATCGCCCGCATCGGTCTAAGGACCGAATGTTGGAAATACCGGTCCTACCCTGGACCGAACCTAGAGGACGTCGGTCTAAGGAATAACCCTAAGTATATAGAATGCGCTTATTATACTTTCTTATATAGTAGCTACCTTAGCTATTAATATAACTTGGTTATACTTAATACCTTTTGAGTATATTACTAGATGTGATATTATATTACCCTTTAAGGTTACGTAATATAATCTAGTGCTAATATAAACCTAGTACGACTGGTTTATCCCTTGGGAAATATCCTCTCGTTATACATTAATAGCTCTTATTTATTAGATTACTTGCGTTACCTTGAATAATATCGAACGCAATAGCTACTTAGGCTACTCCTAGTAATAACTACTAGTAGGTTCTACCTACTAACTACTTACCTGCCCCTATCGCACTAGCTTAGGCTAACCTTAACGGCGATGAAGAAATAGATAGCGATAACGAAAAAGTCGAGTAACTCTATGCCTAGGTTACTATTATAACTACCGAAATAGAGGAACTTAGAGGACTTATTAATCGCATAGTCGCTGCTTAGTAAGCCTAAAACTAGTAGTACTACGAGAATATCTAGAATATTAATAATATAGTAATTGCCGCTATAAAGGGCAAGGATATTAGAGAAATCCTAAAGCTAGAATAACTAGAGAAATTTAATAGTATCGCATATAAGTTACTAATATTCCTTATATAACTATGCGCGTTTATGCTCTATTACCCTATATAGTTTACCACGGCATCTAGTAAGGTTTAGTATGCTATAAGGCGTCTTATTAAGCACGCTATAGCCTAGTTTGAACCTATTATAAAGGAGTACCTTATTAAACTACTTAATAAATACTCGCTATAAACTACGAACCTTTACTCTAGCTTTAAAGCCTTTAAAGCTATACTTTAATAAGCCTTTGGAATAGTAGATAAAAAAGCCTAGGCGGAAAGAGAAATTAAGGTACTTTAATAAACTCGCTCCGCGTTAGAATATAGCACTAAGTACCTCTAGCTTACCTCGAAGCTTAACTAGGACTAAGAACCCCTGATATCCTTTTTCTTCGATAGACTTAAGAAAGAGGTATAGGCTAAACTCTATAAAGAAGACCGGCCTAATAACCTCGTCGATTATATTAGCCGAGTAGTTAGGATCGATGACTAATAGTTCTCTTAGAAGAAGCTCTAGAACCCCCGTAATAGTAAAGAAAACTATTAGAAACCTCGGTTCGATGCTAATTAAGGGCGATACTAATAAAATAATATATCTTATAGAACCTATATAGGACTTATAAAACTCGGAGTAACTTAATAGAAGAAATGCGACTACTATAGACTCGAATGCCGATACTACTATAAGATAAACTATATCGAGAAGATCTACTATAAAAAATAGTATAATATTAAGGAAGGTCACTACTAGCCATAGTAATAGCGACTCCCCGAAGGCAGAAAATAGGTAAGATTTATATAAGCTAATAATAAACCATAGATAGCTCTATGGATAACAAAGATGCTCGGCATGGCACGAGCGGGCTACGACCGGATAGGAGCTATACCTAACTAAATTAATATACCTTATTAGTAAGCCTACCTCACGGAAGAATAGGCTAGAGAAAACGAGGTCACCCAAAATAATAAGAAGGATCGAGTATACTAGACGACCCGGCCCTAAAAACTCGATTATATAAACCTCACGGATTATACTAGGATATAATTAAAATAGGAGCTACTCCCGGAACCGGCTAATAAACTAGATAAGGACCCTAATATAAAAACCATCGCGGTTACCTAACGCAAAAAATCTACTAAGATAAAAGATAATTAAGTACTACTACCCCTAACCTCCTAGGAATAAACCGACTACTAGGAAGCCGCTATAGAAAGGTTTGACTATAAAAGATAGGTCATAGGGTATAATAAGAATAGCAAATCCTAGATACCCGCTATAGTCTATTAAAGGGACTACTAGCAGAACGACCCTATATAATGCAATCGCACCTTATGCCCCTAATATTAGGCCGAGGCATTATAAGAATATAATAAGATCTATAAATAGTAGAAAGTAGAATAATATAGTAGACTATTATATAATAATTAGATCGCAAAAATAGCAAGTAGTAGTCTAACCTAGGCACAAATCATAAATACTATAAACCCTTAGGAATACTAGCAAGAGGAACTTACACAAGTAGGAAAAGGAATATAGAAAACTAATAAAGAATTATAGGAAAAAGACCCCTACCCGCGATTATATAACCAAGATGATAATCGATATTAGAATAGTATATGGGAATAATATATCCAGACGGCACGAGAATATATAGATACCGCCGATAAATAAGAAATCTATATTTGCGCCTACTATAAAGAATTAGCGGAAAACCCTAGATATCTAGAAATACCCTTTAACCTACGAGACGATATGTAAACATACCCGATATACTAAGAACACGCTAATATCTTATAGATATCCTACTAGTAATACTAGTATAAGACCCACCGGAAGGAAAAATAAGAGTAAGACTATTTTCCCGTCGCATTACTATATTAACCTAATAAAAACCTATACCTATGGTATAAGATAGAAGGATATCGAATTTTCTACTAGTATGAATCTATCGGCATAGCCTACGCACGATATAATAATAACCTCTACTATGCTATCTAGGAGTAAAAATAGGTTACTTATAAAATCGAAGACTAGTAGAAGTAAATTAGCTAATAAGAATAGGAAGACCTAGGAGCCTAAGAAGAAAGGAGCTACTAAGAGTATCTATATAGTTAGATCGACGACTATGATTATGAAGTATATAGTAAGAGCGAATATAAATATGATTACTATAGCTATGCTCTCTATAGGTTAAAAAACTAGATACCCCGTCTGATATAAGGTAACGGATAGATAAATAAGGGAATAAACTACCCTAGAAGGCCCTATACTCCATAAACGGAGGATATAGGCGATAATACCTAGAATTAAAAGTATAAGTTAAGGGAGAATAGTTAAATACTTTAGTAGATAATAGAGCTAAGCAGAACTACTTTAACCTAATAATAGTAAATAGGCTTAAGCTACTATAGAGGCATAAACGCAAGCCCTATATAATATATAACCTCGAAGGAATACCTTTTGATTACGATAATGGAATTATTAACTATGAGATTAATTATCTTAAGGTTTTTATTAAAGGAAAGAACTAAGGAATCTTATTTAATATTATATTAAACTAGAGCTACGATTTTATGCTCGGGTACCTATAGTTATAATACTTTAACCTATATTTTAACTAGAGAACTAGCTAGATACTCTCTTGCGATAATGAGATATCCTCTATATTAAATAACGACTTAGATTAGAGATCTTAAATTTCTATTAATAACGGAGAAGTTAAGAAGAGGTAAATACGAGATACCTCTCTACCTATAGGGATAAAATATAAATACCATAATGGGCAGAAACAACAACGATAAAGAATAATCGCATAAATTATATAATAGTTCTATGTACTTAAGAAAGACCTCGAGAAACCAAAGGGGGATAGCCTAGAAGAGGAATAACTTAAGAATATACCATAGAAGTATAGAATCTATAAAAGATTCTTCGTAGAAGAACTCGAGATAGGTCTATTAGAATATACCTCGTATGACCTGGAAATTAAGTTTATCGATGGGAAATAACCTAGCTTTAGTAAACTCTACCTACTTAACGAAGCGTAACTTCTAGTATTAAAGGAATATATTAAAGATATAATATGGAAAGGATATATTAGGGAAAGCAAGTTATCTATTAGATACCCTATTATATTTATTCCGAAGAAGAATAGAAAGCTCTGACTTTATATCGATTTTAGAATACTTAATATTATTATAGTTAAGGATCGTATACCGCTACCTCTTATTAGCGAGTTAAAGGATTGACTTTTTAAGATAAAGTATTTTACCGCACTTAACCTTAAAGGAGCCTATAACCTTATTCGGATTAAGGAAGGATATAAATAAAAAACCGCTTTTTATATTAAGTATAGACTATTTAAGTACCTCGTTATGCCTTTTAGACTTACTAATACACCTATTGCATTCTAACGAATAATTAATAATATACTATAAGAACATCTAGATATATTTATTATATATTACCTAGATAATATCCTTATCTTCTCTAAAACGGAAGAAGAATATACGAAACATATCCATAAGGTACTATAGATACTATAGAACGCTAACTTATTAGTAGAACCCGAGAAAAGTAAATTCTATGCCTCGGAAGTAGAATTCCTCGGATATATTATCTCTCATAACGAGATACATATGGACCCTAAGAAAGTCTTAGTAGTCAGAGACTAGAAGGAGCTAACTAACGTTAAGGAAATATAAGCCTTCCTCGGATTCGCTAATTACTACTATAAGTTTCTTAAAGTATTTAGGAAAATCGCTATATTATTAATAGAACTTACAAAGAAAGATAAGGTCTTTATATTTAGGGATAAGGCAAAAAATACCTTTAATAAAATCAAGGA